GCAGGCTTTTGGAACACCACCTTTTCCTGATTTTCCTCCTCCTTTTCTGGCTAGTCCTTCTTTCAGTTTCCTCTGCTGGTTCTTCCTTAACTCTCCTACCTCTAAATGTTGAAGTGCCCTCTCAGACCTAGCCTCTTCTATCTAGAGTTCTATTCTAGAGTTTCTCCTTCATGAATCTCGATCTATTCTTGCATTTAAATGCAATCTATATGCCTGTGACGTCCAAATAACATGATCAGGCCTGGCTCTCTGCCATGATGTCCATATATCTGCCTTCTCTATGTTTCCACCTAGATATATGGACGCAGTCGCTTCTAAAATAACATAGCGCCAAAATCGGGTTCCTGATAATTCTGCCTCTCCCACTCCAAACTTCTCCTTCCACGTCTTATAAGTAATGGAACTTTGTCAGTTGTTCAGGCAAAAACCTTGGCAGCATTTTTGACTGCTTTTTTTTTTTTGTTCACTCATTATATTAGCAACAACTTTCAACCACACCTCACAGTATATCCAGAATCCACCCTTTCCCACTATCACTAGCTGCTACCACTCTGTTTCTAGCCATTCATCTCTTCTCCTGGATTTGTTTTTGTTACCTGGTCTGACTCTGGCCTTTGCCCCATCCGCCATGCATTCACTCTATTTTTCAACACAACAGCCCACCTGATCCTGTTCAAAGCATGCAAGGTGTGATCATGGTCACTGACTCTAGGTCAGTGTCTTCTGCTCAAAACTTTATCTGACTTCTATACTCACAGGAGTAAAAGGCCAAAAGTCCTTAAATAAAGTCTTGACAATGAGATATTTCACCCCTCTGCTCTTTTGACCTATTACTTCTGGCTCACTTTCCCCTCCAGCTGCCCAGGTTTGTCTTGCTGTTCCTCAAATCATGCCCAGCCATTGGCAGGCTGCACGAGGCCTTTAACATACCTGTTCCCTCTGCCTTGGAATGCTGCTTCCTGCAGATGCCAAACATAGCTCACACCCTCATTTTAGCTCGTTTACTCAATTCAATAAGGCGCTTTCTTTGGCTCATCTTTCTAAAAATTATCAGTCCTTACTTCTAGCACTTTCCATTGCGTCTTCCCTGCTCTCAAGTTTTCCACTTTGAAGTTTGTTTACTATACATTTTTACTTAATTGTATTTCTCTTCGTGTGTCAGCAATCTGGGACTACAACGCCCATGAGAAGAGGCATTTTTTGCTGTCATTCTGCATTGAATCACCAGGCTTGACCATAAAATACGCTACTCAATAAATATTTGTTGAATGGGGAAATTAAGTTTTTTAGATTCAGTGAAACAATTGAATGTGCATTGGTGAAAATATCTTCATGTTGTCATCGAATGAGAGGACCAAAACCAACTCCAGCATCTGGTTAAGGCTGGGTATAATTAGTAAGAAAAGAGGATTTTACTTTTCAAAAAGAAAGTCGTAAGCTTTTATTCTTCAATCTAACCGGGGCAAATTAAGAGAGACTTGATGTCCTATTATAAAGCTCCAGTTTTTTGCCTAAACACTTCTCCTCAGGTTGGATGTCTCCAGCTTATAGTCCTGAGTGAGCATTTTTCTCAGATAGGTTTTCCCCGGAGGAGATCTCTTTCTACCCTCGTGCCTCAGTTAAGCCGGGAATCCCAGGGGTTCAGGGTCACCCGCTCCACTGTTTTAATTGGCTGTGCTGCGCTGCTGGGGGCAACAAAACCCTCCTCCTGAGGAGTGCTCTTATCCATTGCGCACCATAGACTCGGCTCTGTTTAGGGTGTGAGGCAGTTATCTTCTCCTAAGCCAGTGTCCCTCTTCTGAGTAATTCAAGGCGTACCCATCCTTTTCTTTGGTCACCCTAAATACTGTAGAGGAAGGACTTTAGTTTTTCTCTTCTGTGACTACAGGCGAACTTCTGAGTAGACCCAGCCACTCCTATCCAAGAAGCAATTTTAAGAAGTTCCTGCTTGCAATCTATTACATGCCCAGACGACACTGTGTGTTGACCGGTGGTGGCGGCATGGGATAGCAGAGGCTTGTCTTTGTGTCTTTGTGTTTACTGATAGTATGACAGCTTCCCTCACTTTCTTCTTTATGATTGACCTTCTGTCAGGAACTACCAGGAGGAGAGAACACCCTTCTTAAACGGGTGACTGGCATCTGGGCTTTCTTAAGCCTTGAGTCTTTTTATCTTTACCTTGTCTTAGACGGTTTCCAATGGTTCAAGATAAAAACTCCACCACCCTGACTGGAACACGGCTGGAAATGGCCCTTCACACCCTGACTGGAGCATGACTGGATAATGGCCTCCATACCATAACTTGGTCTCACCTTAATGCTCTCATCTACCATACTCATTTCTCTGCTTTAGTCGCTCTCTTATTCTCCTAAATGATCTTTCATCGTTTCTCCCTCTTCTCATCCCAAACCTACAACACCTCCTCACCACGGTCACCTTGCTTCCTGTTTAAACCAGCAGAATTGAAGGAATCCAAAGAGAGCTTCTCCAAACTCCTGAAACCACACCTACCCATCAACCTGCTTCTTCACTTTTCTTCTGTTACTACATCATATGTTAGTATGATAACATATAACATAAAAATATTTCTCAGCCAGAATTCCACAATTTCCCACCCCTATGTTGGTAGCTGAGAAGATATATAATAACTTGAAGATATTATGTATTCAATATTACTTTCATGTGAATTTTGCCCTCTGTCAATTATAAGCATCTTATATGGTCTATAATCCATATGTAGTTGGAGCTGTTATTTAATTCAGGTGAAGATGATTTGGGCAACAGATTTTCATAATGCTTTGACATAACTCTTTGGCTCTTTCTGTGACTTCAACCTTACACCCTAGACTGCAGGCATAGTTTTAAACATGACGGCTTTCATGTTTAGCAAAAAGCTACATAGTATGTAGAAAGGTGGAGGAGTTGTGATCAGAAAAATGATGTCATGATTAAATTATGTCTCCTCTCAGTGAGCCTGTTTTCCCACTTGTAATATATGAAAATCGGACCAGAACTAATGTTGTCTTAGTTGTTGCTTGTTTTTGTTCTGCTTCTTCGAAAGAAATGCACCTGAAACCGCTGTATCTAACATGGGTAAAGGTGTAGCTGCTCTGGTTGGAGCTGGGGAGAAGACCTTCACTTTAAATCTATTCTGTTCTGGGATAATTTTGAAACACAGAGTTCTCTTTATTTGTACACTGGGCCCTCCCTATCAGTGGGTACCACATCGTGGATTCAACCAACCACAGATTGAAAATATTTGAAAAAAAAAATTGCATCTGTACTGAAAATGTACAGACTTGTTTTTGTTGTCACTATTCCCTAAACAATACGGTATAACAACCATATAATATGACATTGTACTAGGTATTATAAATAATCTAGAGATGACTCAAAGTACACAGGAGGATGTATAGGTTATACACAAATACCTTGCTATTTTACATTAGGGATTTGAGCATGTATAGGTTTTGGTATCTGCGCAGGTCCTGGAATGGATCCCCTACAGACAATAAATTTCAGGATCTACTGCCTAAGGACTATTATTTTTCTCTCTTTAGAGACTAATAAGCAGGAAGGATCAAACTGGCCTGCCCTTGGCAAGCTGTGGTGCTCACCCTCATGTTTAGGAGGCTGGGTCTCACTGGGCTCACTCACCTCACTGGACTCACTCACTCACTCACTCACTTTCCTACCTCCAGGAAAGGATGCTCAGAATCCCAGCTGCGGCCCAGCAGGCCCACCTCTGCTCTGATGCTCTGTATAACTGAAACTGCAAAGTAAAAGTTAGTTTTATTTTCTTGAAGTGCATGTTCAAATTACATATTTCTTCCCATAGTCTCTGTACAAGCTATTGTGCATAAAAGTCTTACATAAAATGAAGGCTAAACCTTGGAGGGTTTTATTCTTTAATTAAATGTAATTTATAGGACAGAGTATGGCATAGCTGCACATGGCTACAATTTTCGACACGGTTTTGTATGCTCAGATTCCTGATCTTCTGGTCTACGTTTTACTCAGGTTTTTTAGCCTCACCCCCAGAGCTTTCCACCTGTAGAAATATGCTGCACCCTCGCCATGCTTGCTGGAAAGTTTCTTTTTTAAAAATTCTGCAATTAGCACAAGTTACATCTATTGATTCTTATATAAAAGTAGTGATATTTCTCATTCCTTTTATAAGAAATAGCTTATGCTCACTTGCAAATATGTTCATTTTCAAAGTTCTGTTTTACTTTTTAGAATTAGTTTTTAAAGACAGCTTTTAAGGAGAGTTGATTAAACAAATCTTTAATGAGTAGAAACTTACCAGGACTTTTCTGAAAACTTCTCTCTTTATATTAGAAACATGAAATAAGTCTTCATGAGGCTGTTTGATCCGGATTCCTTAGATTAGTTCCCCTTTCTTGATGATTTGCCAAAATCACGTTCTGGAAAGCAGCTATGAGGAAGCAGAGCTGTAGGCAGAACAGACTTGGTCCCTGTTCAGTTTGCCGGAGGATATACTTGTTGAGAACGTATTGCATAAAACAATGATATCACAACCAATTAAAATGCAATAGACTGGACTGCTGCTTAGGAAATGTTTGTGAAACAGATTCCCCCCCTCCTCAACTTTCTACTATGAAAATGTTCAAACACACAGAAAATTTGAAAGAATAGTGAAAAGAATACCCTTCTAGGTAGCATCTCTTTGTATACTTAAATACTTCTAAGAAAACAAATAAACCTCAAAAAGTATGTGGCAGGCACACTTTATCTCTCTTCAGCATTCCACATTCAATGTAGAGCAAACCCTATGGGGTGTATCTTCAAAATATACCCAGAATTTGACTACCTATCACCACTACCACCTGGTCCAAACTCTCCTCTTCTCTCTCTTGGATTATAGGAATAGCTTCCTTGCCATGTTCCCTCTTGCTGTTATTGATCCCTTCAGGGACTTCTCAAAAAAGCAGCCAGAGTGACCTTGTTAAAATGTAAATAACATATCAATGTTGTGTCCAACCCTGTCTGTGGCTTTCCATCTGACAAGGCCTCACACAGCCTGGTACCCTGTTAACCCTTTGATATTAGGTCTTTTATTTTTCCCTCTAAATCTGGCCCAGTCACCTGACCTCATCGTTGCTTCCTGAAGGAAGCACCTGCCCCTGTTTCCAGCCACTACAATTGTTTTCCCTTCCTGGAATGTCCTTGGATACCAGCAGGGTTCACTCTCTCACTTTGTTGCCATCTTTTGTCAAATGTCACCTTGTCAGCAAGGCACTGTTTGGCCAGCCTACTGAAAACTTTATCCCATCTCCCAACATTTCCTATCCCTTTTCTGGCTTCATTTTTTATCTACTTAAGACTTACAAGCAGCAAATATTTTATATATTTTAACCTATTTACTTTGTTTCTTTTCTGCCCCACCCATTATTCTATGCACTCCGTAAGGACAAATTTCTTTATATTTTGTTCATTATCTGGCATTGCCTAGCACATAATAGCTTCTTAACAAAAATCTGTTAAATGAGTAACACATTTTCTTAAAGTAGTTAAAAGTAATGAATATTTGAAAGGCCTTGAGCTACCAATGTCTGTGGGTCGAAGGACTTCCTCATTTTCCTAGGGAAATTATTTCACTTGGCTGGAACTCCAGATAGAAATCTTGGGAAATCGCTTTACTGTGCTACCCGTTAGGCCAGAACTAACTCCAGCTTCTATCATCCGGTCACAAAGAATGAAAAGGAAGTTTTTTTCAAAAGGAAAGCAAAATGAATGAATATATCTTCTCCTGCAGTTTTTGTAGATACCCTAGTTACTGAATGCACCTTACCAACTTTCTGCTGTCACTTACAGTCACCGAATGAGGCCATTTCTCACACTGCGTTTTACCTGGAGGAGGTCCCTTTTGACTCCAGGTCCCCAGTGTCTTAAGACCTCTGATGTTTTCACCCGCTGCCTTTGCTGGGAAGCTGCTCTTCTGGCAAGGGGCTTACGTTTTCCGCAGACACAATCCGCTCGGGTGAGATGCAATACCTTCTTTTAGCCACTGTCCTCTTTCAGAAATTTAACCAGTCACTCTCTCTCTCTGGAAATCCTAAAGATGGAAAAAACAGACTCCAGAATTTTTCTTTTGTTTTAGCCAGGACAATTTTAAGAGCATCTGGATATATGCTGTTGGAACTAAGGAACAATCAAAATTACCATGATTGGTGTGGACAAATTTTGTGATTGCCTTGACATAAGTCTTGGCTTTCTAGGGGCCCTCAGTGTCTGTTTTGAAACAATTGTGAGCACAAATCTTATCTTTTGCAACGTTGGTTATTGACAAAGGAGTTGCAGGTTGCCATCCTCAACACTCCAGTTTTCTCTCTTTGATGTTCAGCAAGAAGTACCAAGTCAGCAAACTCTCAGGAACGAGCACAGCTGCCCACCCCATCTTTGAGAGACCCTCATGCCCTGGGGAGGTGTTCTGCTCTGTAGGATTCTTAGAACTGATATAGGGAAAAACACTTCAGAATCTGGCTGTAGCCCAGGGAGCTACCCACACCCTCCTCGCATAGTCTGGCAGTCAGAAGCCACACAAGCAAGTTAGTTTCATTTTCCTGAAGAACACTTTGCATTTTTTTTTTCTTAGTTTTCAACCAGATTGCTGTATAAGATATATGTGAATGAAGTACTTTAATAGAATAATATTTAGCCTCTGCAGAGTATTACCTTTGATAAAATGTAAAATTTTTAACGTCTTACATTATGAAGACAGAATTTTGTGTAATTACACAAGATCACAGGTTTTCCTTTAGAATCTTCAGTGCTTAAATTCCTGACCCTGTTTGCTTCGTTTCTCTGTCCTCTTTTCCAAAGCCTGCCTGCCACAATCAGAAACCCTCCCACCATCCTAATTACACTTAATGGTACGTTTCTTTTTAGAAGAGCACTTATAAAGTTATTATCAGTTAAATATACTGACATGTATTTAATCCATTGATTTTTCTAATTACTTTAGTATTTTTATAAGTAATGGTTTATGGACGAACATATAGCTATATAAAAAGTACAGCTGAAGTTTTAAAAAATAGCTGTCTCCTCAAAGGCATAACAAATAAAGGTTTAATGATTCAGTTTACTTACCAGGATTTTCTGAAGAAGTCATTGTTTTATATCAGAAACGTGAAACAGGCCATTTGAACTTTTGCTGTCTCATTCCTCATCTGATGGCTAGGAGATATGAGTGCAAGGATTCTTTTTTAAAAATCAAGGCATTAAATTGTGAGGTCTTCTGTTCTCCCAGTGCTCTTTCTGAGGGTGTGTCAGAGTGCCAGTACAGAAGCAGGAGGAAGTTGAAATACAGAGAGTTTCAGTTTCACTTTAGAATGTTCTTTTTTCTTGGGTTTAGAAGGATCTAAAATATTTTTTAATCAATAACATTACCAAAAATATCAATAAATTTGAACCACTGCTTAGAAACTATTTACCAGGCAGGTTTTTAAGTCATAAGAGTTAAGAAATAAGGAAACAACAAACAAACAAACAAAAAAACCTAACTATTCAAAAAACTACCTACAGGACAAAGAGAACGGAAATACCAGGGAGAAAATCAATATGTCAATGCAATCTAAGTTCCTGTTACTGGTTGAATTGTGTCCCCCAAACATTCATATGTTAAAGTCCTAATCCTCAGTACCTCCGAATGTTACTGTATTTGGAGATAAGGTCTTTCAGGAAGTAATTAAATTAAAATGAGGTCATTAGAGTGACTGTAATTGTATCTGACTGTGTCCTTATAAGAAGAGGAGATTGGGACACAGACACATATAGAGGGAAGATCATGTGAAGACACAAAGAAAAGATGGCCATCTACAAGCCAAGGAGAGAGATATCAGAAGAAACCAACCCTGATGGTGTCAGAGATGTTCTAACCAGAGCAACTCCATTTTGAATGAGGGCTACGAAAATGAGGCTGAGACTTGTTGGGCTGCATTCTCAGAAAGGTAGGCATTCCTAGCCTCTAGATGTTTATTATTAAGGGCACAAATTAATAATATTTACTAAACAGACCCTGACTTGGGAGTGTCCAGATATCCTGATATCTGGAGAACAAAGGCATTCCTAATTTTGCTTTAAAGAAAATAATATCGATTCTTGTGAAATATATTAATTAAGAAAATTAATTCTTTATCAGAAACCCTTGTAGCAAAACACATCTCTCCATATATGTAAGCATTGTATGGGTGGATGTGTTCCTCCTCTTACTTTCGGGAACGTCCTACTCTGTAGCCAGACAACTAGCTATTATCTCTGGAGCAGCCTTGGGTAACCCTTGACATGGCAGGTAAGAACATCAATTCCTTCTGGATTGCTTATTCTGTTCTGACCCATTATGATGGGTCTCTGTCACCCCAGAACTGTATGGTCATGGGGATAGATGGACAAGCCCATAGATGCCATTTTGCCTATCCTTTAAGCTGCTCTTCAGGGACCTTGATTTTCTCCTGAATGCCCCACCCCTTGTTGGGGAGGGATTTGTTGACTCAGCTTCGAAGAGTAGTATCTTTTGGAAATCACAAGGCAGACTAAAATTGCTCCTTCTTCTTTCCCGTGAATAACTATCAGGCTTTGTTGCTAAACATCCTGATATAACACTTAAAGTACGCCATATGTTGAATCCAACTACCTATTTGCCTGAACCCACAGGCATCCTACGTTATTCTTTTACCACTGTACTTTCTTAATAAACTTGCTTTTACTTTGCACTGTGGACTCGCCTTGAATTCTTTCTTGGGCAAGATCCAAGAACCCTCTCTAGGGGTCTGAATTGGGATCCCGGTCCTGTAACATTTCTGGCAACCATGAGGGACCGATACTGAAGAACCTCCCCACCAACCCAAAGGAAATAGACTACAGCACTGATTGGATGACTTTGGGTAAGTGGTGTCGTACCTGGGTAAAGAATGGGATTGGGTTAGAGGCTTAACTTAAGGGAATTAGAGTCTCTCTGAAGACAGGGTGGGTTAGAGGCCCCTCTTAATAGAAAGCAAAGACGCTTGACTGACCTCGGGTTAGAGGACCAACTTAAAAGGATTAGAGTTCCTTCTAAGATTTAGGAGGTTAGAGGCCTCTCTCAGTAAAGTCTGCTAAAAACGGGTTTGGCACTGCAGGCTATGCTCTTTGTATTAATCTGCCTTGTCCTCCTTGCTGCATAAATCAATTTCTTGGTTGCTGACTGTGTTTCACTGTCATTTTCAGAAGACTTTATCTAAATGGTCTTAGGGATCTTAACTTACTCTTTTCCTAGGTGCTTCCTGATTTCCATGTGTCTGCTCGCGAAACATTGGGAACAAAAAGCATTGAAGGCTCCATCTTTAAAATTGCTGATTGAGATTTGGTATTCAACAGCTATGAGCAATAAAATTAGGCAGATGTGGTTATGTTTTGTTGCTGCTATGCTGACTAGGTGTGATCGAGAAGCACTAGGATGGAAATCAGGGGACTCTTCTCCTTGCTGTTTTGTTTCATTTTGCACACTAAAAACACTTCTTTCCTTTCTTGCATTCAGGCAAACTGGCTTTGCTTGTTCATTCCACACTGTCACTATTGCCCAGGACCTGCTTGCTCTGGTCATTCTCATCTAAATCCTCTTCATTTCCTTTGCCTTATTCAATATTTTTGTCAAAGTCCATGTTGTGGTTTATCTGAGATTCATGACTCAGCTCACTTACGTTATCTGGATAATGTGAATCATGTTTGATGAGAGGAAAAGAGGAAAAAGAGCTAGACATACTAGATGATCCTTTAATGCAAGCAGCCTTGGTTTAGCAGGCAGTTTTGCGTGGAGCAGAACCTCTTTCTGTCAGCTCTGAAGGTTCAGATGTGTCTGTCCTTTCTCCCTCTAATCCCCCTTGAGAACCCTTCATCCCCTCCTCCTTACCCGTCTAGCCCCACTCTATACCCACCACTCCCTGAGGAACTTAGCCTAGTGAGTACTACCCCTAGTGGAGCCTCCTGTCAACCTCTAAAGGGAAACCTTTGTCCACTTAGAGAGGTGGTAAATAGGGAAGGAGGCACTGTGAGAGTACATGTTCCCTTTTTTATGTCTGATTTGGCTCTGTGTAAAGAGAAGTTTGGTGATTTCTCTGAAGACCCAGGAAGATTCATAGATGAGTTTGAGAAATTAATTCTGACCTATAGTTAACTTGGCAGGATCTGCATGTTTTGTTGTCTCTGTGTTGTACAGTGGAAGAGAAACAATGCATTTTGGGGACAGCTAGGGCCCATGCAGATGAGGCATTGGCTCACAACCCAAACCATAATACATATCAGGGAGGCGGTAGAGCAGTTCCAGATCAAGATCCAGAGTGGAACTATCAAAGGGGCAGTGACAACTTGGGGAGAAGAGATCATATGGTCATTTGTTTGTTGGAAGGGATGAAGAAATGTATGAAAAAGGCTCTTAACTACGAAAAGGTTAAGGAAGTTTCCAGAACAAAGACGAGAATCCAGCTTTGTTTCAAGGGCATTTAGTTGAGGCACTTAGGAAATATACTAACACTGATCCTGCCTCAAGGGACAGACAAACCCTTTTGGGAGTGCATTTTATAAGCCAGTTTGCCCCTGATATCCATAGGAAACTAGAAAAAGCAGCTATGGGTCCCCAGACTCCCATATGGGACAGCTTTTGTATATGGTATTTTTAGTTTTTAATAACAGGGACAAAGCAGAGGAAGCAGAAAGAGTAGGAAGGACCTCCCACAAGGTGCAGCTCTTGGCTGCAGCCTTAAGCTTACCTCCCACATGGGGTTGCCCTCCTGGTTCTTGGCCTGAACAAGGGAAGCTGAAAGGTGAGAAGTCAGAGTCACTGTGCCTTGGGCATGAATCAGTGTGCACACTGTAAGAAAGCTGGCCTTTGGAAGAGGGATTGCCCAGCACGCTGAAGGGAGCCATTGGCACCCAAACCAGTGATGGCCAAAATAGCCAGGCAAGCCCAAGAGTGACTGGGTCTGAGACCTCCCAGCACAGCTCCCATCAGACAACTAGCTATTATCTCTGGAGAAGCTTTGGGTAGCCCTTGACAGGGCAGGTAAGAACATCAATTCCTTCTGGATTGCTTATTCTGTTCTGACCCATTATGATGGGCCTCTGTCACTCCAGAACTGTATGGTCATGGGGATAGATGGACAAGCCCATAGATGCCATTTTACCTATCCTTTAAGCTGCTCTTCAAGGACCTTGATTTTCTCCTGAATGCCCCACCCCTTGTTGGGGAGGGATTTGTTAACTCAACGGCGAAGAGTAGTATCTTTTGGAAATCACAAGGCAGACTAAAATTGTTCCTTCTTCTTTACTGTGAATAACTATCAGGCTTTCCTGATATAACACTTAAAGTATGCCATATGTTGAATCCAACTACCTATTTGCCTGAACCCACAGGGATCCTACATTATTCTTATATACAAGTTACGGAGCAAGTTTATTCCAGCTGTCCAGATTTAAAGGATGAGCCTTTAGATAATCTTGAGGTAGAATGGCTTACAGATGGAAGTAGCTTTGTGCACCACGGAAATGGAAAGCTGGGTATGCCGTTGTCAGTCAACAGGAGGTAATTGAATCTCAGGCCTTTCCAGCTTCTACCTCAGTTCAAAAGGCAGAATTAATAGCTCTTATTAGAACCCTGCAATTGGGAACGGACTTAAGAATTAACATTTACACTGATTCTGAGTATGCCTTTCTGATACTTCATGCTCATGCTGCTAACTGGAAGGAATAGGGACTCCTAACTGCTAAGGGTTCCCCTATAAAACATCACTTAGAAATTCTGGGTCAGGCACGGTGGCTCATGCCTGTAATCCCAGCACTTTGGGAGGCTTAGGGGGGGTGGATCACCTGAGGTCAGGAGTTCAAGACCAGCCTGGCCAACATGGTGAAATCCTGTCTCTACTAAAAAATACAAAAAATTAGCCGGGCATGGTGGCAGGCGCCTGTAATCCCAGCTCCTCAGGAGGCCAAGGCAGAAGAATTGCTTAAGCTTGGGAGGTGGAGGTTGCAGCGAGCTGCGAAAAGAGGCTCTTCCCTTACTGTGACTAAGAGAAACTCCTTTGCAGATACAGCTGCTAAGGCCGCAGCATTAAAGGAGCCCCCAGCCACGATAATAATAGAACCAAGATATACTAAAGAGGAACAAGAATGGACTGAAGGTCCATTGAAGGTCAGAGTCTAATTGAAGATCCTTCTGGCTGGCTTATCAATGACAACCAACTGTTGATACCAGGTGCTAATCATTGGAAAATAAGCATTTGCATGACTCTACTCATTTGGGAGGAGATTCCCTGTTTCAATCAATGTTGCAGCTTTTTGTAGGAAAAG